ACTTTACATCATGTAGACATGTACGTGTGGTTTGATACATAAAGAAGACTGTACACTGTACATCATGTATACATGTACGTGTGGTTTGATACATCAACAAGACTGTATACTGTACATCATGCAGACATGTACGTGTGGTTTGATACATAAAGAAGACTGTACACTGTACATCATGTATACATGTACGTGTGGTTTGATACATCAACAAGACTGTATACTGTACATCATGCAGACATGTACGTGTGGTTTGATACATCAACAAGACTGTACACTGTACATCACGATGTGGACATCACGTGTGGTTTGATACAGTAACAAGACTGTACACTGTACATCATATAGACATGTACGTGTGGTTTATTACATTAACAGGACTGTACAATGTACATCATGATGTAGACATCACGTGTGGTTTGATACTGTAACAAGACTGTACAATGCACATCATGTAGACATGTACGTGTGGTTTATTACATTAACAAGACTGTACAATGTACATCATGATGTAGACATACACCTGTGGTTTATTACATTAACAGGACTGTACACTGTACATCATGCAGACATGTTCGTGTGGTTTGATACATCAACAAGACTGTACACTGTACATCACGATGTGGACATCACATGTGGTTTGATACAGTAACAAGACTGTACACTGTACATGATGATGTAGACATACACGTGTGGTTTATTACATTAACAGGACTGTACATCATGATGTAGACATACACGTGTGGTTTGATTTAGAGAAAGTCTCTACAAGTTATCTTCTTTTACATAATATTTCCTGTTATTGTTCAAGTTCCACTGATTGGAGCTGATACTGTAATTCTCAGCTGATCATGGCATGCTATTTTCTGCCCATTGTGAGTTAAGTGTTTTACAATAGACCCTATAGGTGGTTTCAGAGTTTTATAATCTATATTATTTATTTCTCCTTTCATTTTTTTACTGTACTTACAATAAGAATTTATTTTATTTTTAATCTGACTGGTTAGATTCATATCAAGGACATCATGTGACAGAAAAGTTGAACCGAGTGTCCAGTGGTGGCGTTTTTAAGGCTATGCAACCGGCGTTGTCGTTGCGTAACCCAGCAGACGGTCTTCATTTAGTTAGACAATGGAGAGAGAAAGGATCGGATTATCTGGAACTGGAGTGGACATTTCCAGCTCGCAGTTCGTCAGCTACTCCAGGTAAAAACAGCAAGTTCATAGTGATTGTATATCTGTCTTTAGTTTAAGTAGAGGAAGTGACTATTGGAAAGGCTTAATGAGATTGCTTCTTGTAAAACAAGTCCGTACGTTGGATAACGATAACACTTTCGTGTGTTCATCATTCAAGGCAAAGGTATCATCACATATCTCTGTGGACCCTAAGACTAAACATGAAACCCATGGGTTGGTTCTCAGAGTGCACATAATGTGGTTGAAAGAATAAGGAAAGAACAATTGGAAGCAGTAAAACTATTGTTACATTGCTGTTAGAGAATAAAGCTAGAGTTACAGTATTGTAAAATTATAAAGGTATTGTTACGATACTGTATTACAATAAAACCTATGTTATGATACTGGAAACAATAAAGCCTATGTTACATTGCTGTAAAATAATAAAGGAAAACTGCCTTTATTTTTTCCAGTATTCTAATAGCTTCATTGTTTCAAATACTGTAAAACAGGCCTTATTATTTCGACTACTGTAAAAAGTGCCTTTACTTTCCTTTCCAGTACTGTAACATTAACTTTATTATTTTACAACAATGTAACATAGGCTTTATTGTTTCCAGTATTATAACATAGGTTTTATTGTAATACAGTATCGTAACAATACCTTTATAATTTTACAGCAATGTAACATAGGCTTTATTGTTTCCAGTATTATAACATAGGTTTTATTGTAATACAGTATCGTAACAATAACAGTAGTAGAAATAATAAAGCCTGTTTTACAGTATTTGAAACAATGAAGCTGTTAGAATACTGGAATTACTAAAGCTAGTATTATAGTATTTGGAACAATAAGGCCTGTGTTACAGTACGGGGGCCAATAACGCTAGCGTGAACTGCATGAACCAACTGTTGTTGATTCTTGATGTGTGAGAAGGTTTTTGAAAAATTTTGTAAAAAAGGAAATTATTTAATTCTATTTTCTGTTTCTTTATTACAATATCTTTCATAAAAAAGACACCAAATATCTTTTTTACTTCAATTTCTTTCATTAATATTAACGTTTAATGAGGAAAAGAAATAAACAAATAGTAAATAATTAGCTTGTCTGCTCAATAATAATAATAATGGATAATTAATTGTGGCGAATATATTTCACATCTTAGCCAAACTCCTAAATAATTTTATATTATTGGTGTTTATTAAAGGATTGCTTACATACCATCACCATAAGTGGCTTACTTCGCTCTTCTAAGCGTCATTGTTGAGCTGTGAATTCGGTGAAACTAGTCTGTTACAGGTAGAGTAGTGAATCAAACAAAGGCTTAGGCCTTAACGTCATCTTTTCTTCACCAGCTTTGGTTAGAAAAGGACGAGTCGGTGAAAATATTGGTTTAACTCTAACAAAACATGGTTAAAATAGAACCAGCCGTGATAGTATCGGTTTGACTGCAATAAACTGGTTTATTTGGAGCCAAATTCAAACGCTGAAAATTATACGATCACATCTGCTACCAAAGCAAGGCTTAACTTTCTAGTTTTTTTTACACATTCTTTTCTGTAAAACAATAAAACATAAATTTATTTAATTTATTTCCTTAAAAGAATTACTTAGAAGAATAAAAACGAAACGTTATCTTATGTTTCAGGATGTTTTGTGGATCTAAGAATAAACCGAGGACTCGCAGAACACCAAGAAAACTTTGAAAGATGGCGTAAGATTGAAGAGCCTGACTTGATAACGGGGAGTTTGAAGTGTATGGATGAGTTCAAAAAGCAAAGAGTTGTGGTTCCTGTTAAAATAAGCGGTCACTCAGTTGATCACATAGTTCAAGTATCTCTACGGATCGTTAACGGGGAGGGTTTAGATGGAGTAAAGTGGAAAACACTACACGTAACTATTCATAGACACCAAGGCAGTCCACATCTGGTAATGAGTGTCATTTGGCTGACTGCACTTATACTTTTGTGTATGTTGTTATTATGCACTATGATCTATAAAAAGTATTTATACACTTTCCTTAAAACTATAAAATCAAGTAAAAACACAGACGATTGGTACAAGACTAAGATAATATTAGACACTGACGAAGAGGGCCCGACAACACTACTTAAAATTCATCTTCCTATTTAACAAGCACCATTTAAAAAAAACAAAAAACAGCAGAAATATGGATATTAGCCTTGCGCGAAATTCAAAATAAACAAACAAACAAAATGTCTGTTTTCAAATATTTTGTTGCTGTTTTAGCGCAAAGCTACATATTTGGCTATCTGTGCTCTTTACACCGCAGGGAATCGAGCCCCATTCTTTAGCGTTTCATAAACTTGCAGCTGAACCACCAGAGGACTCTGTTATAAAATAAAATCTAACGTAACAGAGAGAGATATATTAATAAATAATTAAAACCCTTTGTAAGATATCTATAGATTAATAAAAACAAAGCCGTTTTCTTGGTATTTTAAAATTGGTTATTGTTTATTATTGCGGTTCCAAAATGCTTCTTTTTGCATTAGATTTGAGAAAAAAAAAGGACTGGAACCAGTAGTGGGCGCGAGAGTTTTGTTTGTTTGTTTGTTTTGAATATCGCCCAAAGCTACACGAGGGCTATCTGCGCTAGCCGTCCCTAATTTAGCAGTGTAAACTAGAGGGAAGGCAGCTAGTCATCACCACCCACCGCCAACGTTTGGGCGGCTCTTTTACCAACGAATAGTGGGATTGAGCGACACGTTATAACGTCCCCACGGCTGAAAGGTGTGACGGTGATTCGAACCCGCGACCCGCAGATTGCGAGTCGAGCACCCTAACCACTTGGCCATGCCGGCCATGGCGCGAGAGAATAAGAAAAAGTTGATTTTTTAAACGAAACGGTGGGATTTTATATAGGTTTGTTTGTTTGTTTGAAGTTAAGCACAAAGCTACACAATGCGCTATATGTGCTCTGCTTACCACAGGTATCGAAACCCGGTTTCTAGCATTGTAAGGCCGCAGACAATCCACTGTGCCACTGGGGGCTTTTATAAAGGAAGATATGTAAATATACATTTTTTTTTGAATTTCGCGCAAAGCCGCCCCTAATTTAGCAGTGTAAGACTAGAGGGAAGGCGGCTAGTCATCACCATCCACCGCCAACTCTTGGGCTACTCTTTTACCAACGAATAGTGGGATTGACCGTCACATTATAACGCCCCCACGGCTGAAAGGGCGAGCATGTTTGGTGGGACGGGGATTCGAACCCACGACCCTCATATAGTGAGTCGAGTGCCTTATCCACCTGGCGATGTCGGGCCAAATATACATATATTAAGAACAGCTAGTTACAGTAATGGATATGTTACAGCTAGTTACAGAAATGGATAGTGAAGTCAGAGTTACGTGTTGTGAAAACATTGTATTGTATTTGTAACACGCGTTAGGCATTACTTTATATTAAGCTTCTTTAATAAATAGTGTTTTGCCGAAGCCTGGTGCTTCCTATTTATTTCCGTGTTTAAAAGATCTGTCTGCCATAACTAAAAAATCAATTACAACATGTGAACAGAGTGGACATTATCTAGGAGTAATAAATGTCTGACAACGAAGCGAATGTTTGCAGAAGCGCGTGCAGCCAATTGTACAAACTGGGAAGCATTTATCGGAGTTGATGAGAACAAACCTGAGATCTTAACTACTTGGCTGAGTAAACAGTTACAACTGAAGGTGGTCACCAGTAGTTGGACAAGAAGAACAATATGAAGAAGTTGACACCAGACTTCTGCTTCACGTGGCAGATGATGCCAGGAAAGGCTGTTCTGGCGTTAGTCACTACGAAGTACTAACAGATTGAATTTGGAATTGATAAGCGCTAAGGTGTCTCCCATTTTCTACTTACTGTGCTTATATAAACCAAGATAGGTACTTGTATTTCATGTGAACAACGTTTGTGTTTGCAAACATGTTGAAAATTGCGGCAATATATATATATATATATGTTTCAATTGGGTCATACCTAATATTGATAACTGGTCAAATTCTATACACGTTCAACATGTGGTTCGTTCAGAATAAAACCCATAATTTCTTTACGAATTTGCACGAGTCTTCTGAACTGTAAGGAGTGAAGAAGTCACAATTCTAAGTTGTTCCATTTACCATCCCACTAATTGTACAGACCAGTTGTTTATAAGTCAATATCGTGTGTGTATTATATTTTTAAACATTTAATCAAGCATAGTTATTTTTCTTGGATTATTTTTGAAACGCTTAACACTTATCCATTCATTCCTACCTTCATCAATCCCTCCACGCATTTCTAACGTTCTATTTTTAAAATATCATGTAAAATAGTTTTAAAAAACGCATTTTCAGTTTTAAACAATACTAGACCATCCGTGACCCGTTGGGTCACCCACTATTCAGAGGTTATGAAGAACTCAAGCTAATTTCAATATTGCACCAAAATGAAGGTTTATTTTGAGGTAATTTAATTGAATATTTCAATCCATTCGTGCTATCCATAATTCAAGAAAAGATATTTGATTGTTGATCGGGAGTAAAAGGAAATACCATTTAATTTTTCAAAGAAGATAAGAACATTGACAGAGAAATAG